GTTTCTTCTTACCACAAATGTAATATGTCAGAGGAGGTTCCCAGGACATCAGTCTCACCTACCCCCACTTTTTCACAATCTCTCGAGGTTCTGATTCCCTCCTATATTTTCCAAGTGTATTTTTGATAATATCACCAGACAACCTCAGAAACACGTGATACCTACATAGCCACCATTTTCAAATTATAGATTGAAACAAGACTTTACAATCCAAGTCTGCTGTACATCAGTCTCCCCAGAAATACATCATATAAGTAGGAGTTTGAGTTTTTGAAGAAAGGGAGTTCTTGGGTATTAAAGAGATGAGATTCTGATAAAGAGCCAGCCTCTACATCCTCCACCAGCAGAGAGAGTTCTTTCTTCACATTCCAGAGGCACATATACCTCATACAAATATCACACACAGACTCTTCTGGAGGGAATCCTTTCATTCTTTGGGGCCCAGGAAGAAGGGTCAGATTAGACAACCAAAGGGACTGGAGAGTAAAAGGAGAAATATGGAATTTGTGGGAGGCAAGAGAGAGGAGGCAGGACTAGAGAAAAGAGAGGTCCTTACACAATGAAACTCATCACCTTTGGTCCTCACAATAAATTTTATACTCCTTCCTTGCGGGCCACATTAACACACTCACACATGCTGAGCCTTCCAGTCCCTTCCAAAAGTCAACAAGATTTTCAGGTCAAAAATAGTCTATATTCGAAGTTACGTTTATAGCTCTGCATTAACCACCATACCCCAAGTTATCTCCTTCTCCTTTCTGAAGCATGAAAATAAAAACTGAGACAATCACTCTGAAAAAAATCTGTCTGTTTATGACCCAAAATATATACTGACCCTAAAAACCAATCAACTCGTTATTTACTCAAGAGGTATGATTTGTTCATAATTCTAGAGGACGGGACATAGGGATCCAATCAAGCCTTGCATCAATAACCAGTACCAGAGACTTTCCCCCTCCCTTCGCACCAGGGAAGGAGAGCGGTCTCTTCTTCATCCCCAGGATGGCCATGTTTATCAGCCCTCTGGAAAGGGGGAAGTGAGCCAGGAGAAACAAAGCTTGCCTTCAACATTGTTGAGAAATTCCACAAAATACTCCTGACTTTTCCTGCAGTGCCTTAAATAATAATTTTTTGAAATTGGGCAGACAGAGAAAAGATTTTTTTAAGATTTTTTTTTTTATGAAATAAGACTACTGCAAAATTAGGATAGGATGTTAAATCAACTTTTAATTAGTATATTCAGTTAAAGAGGCTATTGTGATTATAAAGTAGGGCCTGGCAACTATGAAATTGATAAGAAAAGATCTTTCACAATGATAATTATTTTATAATACTCTAAAGTATTTTTTATTGAGGTATAATTGATATGTAATATGATATTAGTTTCAGGTGTAAAACCTAGTGATTCAATATATTTGTAGAAATACTCCTTTTAAAGTTATTTCTAAGTAATATTATATAATATATTCTTATAGGGTATTTATTTTATGCATAGTAGTTTGTTTCTCTTAAACTCATACTTATCTTGTTTCTCCTCACTTAACTTTTCCCCAGTTGCAAGCACTACTTTGTTTCCTGTATCTGTGAATCTGTTTCTGTTTTGTTTCATAACTTTGTTTTTATTTTTTTAGATTCCACATGTTAAGTATCAATCTAGAGTATTTGATTTCCTCTGTCTGACTTATTTCATTAAGCATAATGTACCTAAGATCCATATATTTGTTGCAAATGACAGAATTTCTTTCTTTTTGTTTTTTGGTTAATATTCCATTTTGTATACTTTTTTACCCGTTCAACTATATGGACATAGATTGCTTCCATATTTCTTTATTGTAGATAATGCTGCCATGAATGTTGGGGTGCAGGTATCTTTTCAAATTTTTGTTTTTGTTTTGCTTTCTTCAGATATATACCTAACAGTGAAATTGCTAAATCATATGTTATTTGTATTTTCAGTTTTTTGAGAAATTTCCATACTGTCTCCATAGTGACTACACCCATCTAAACTCTCACCCACACTATACTAGAACTCCCTTTTCTCTGTAAACTTACCAATATTTGTTATTTGTGGTCTTTTTGATGATAGCAATTTTGAAAGGTGTGAGATATTATCTCATGGCAGATGTGATTTGCTTTTCTCTGATGATTAGCAATGCTGAACATTTTTTCATGTGCCTGTCGAACAGCTGTGTATTCTCTAGCAGAAGATATCTTTTCAGGGCTTCTTCCCATTTTTAAATTAGGTTTTTTGTTTGTTTGTTTCATATTGAGTTGTATGAACTATTTCTAAATTGTGGATATTAATCCTTTATTGGTCCTATAATTTGCAAATGTTTTCTCCCTTTCAGTCTGTTGTCTTTTTGCTTTGTGGATAGCTTCCTTTGCTGTGCAAAAGCTTTTAAGTTTAATTAGGCCTCTTTTGTTTGGTTTTGCTTTAGTTTTTTTTTGCCTTAGGACACAGATTCAAAAATATATTGCTGTGCTTTATGTCAAAGAGTGTTCTACTAGGTTTTCTTCTAGGAGTTATACTGTTTTAGGACATACATTTAGGTCTTTAATCTATTCTGAGTTTACTTATGTATATGGTGTGTAGCTGTCCAATTTTCCCAGCACCACTGATTGAAGAAATTCCAAAAACCCTCCTTGTTCCTTTACTGAGAAGAGACCCTATAATTTAGAACAATGTCGATTCCACGTTATTTTCAGCAGAGACCTTTACTTCTGGGGCCAGGAACCTCCCTTAGAAAGTGAATGTCCTTCAGTGTGCAGATATTTTCTATTCTATTTTATATGAAAATTTAAATTTTCATATTCTCGTAACAAGATACTTCATCCTGAACTGAAGGATCAGTTTTTCCAGTAAATAAAAAGATATCATTTTCCCTAGAGAGTCATGTGTCAATAAACCAAAACTATGATGTTTAGTAGTGAGTCAGAGCCTCAGTCATCGTAGCAATGGGGTGACAGGAAGACTGAGGTCAAAGAAAAAATTTAGGAGATCAATTTCCTTCAGTTTCCATAAATAAGTCCCAAGACATGGAGGTATGTGTGCACATACACGCAGAAACTGGAAAAATCCTCCTTGGAAATCCTTGACTCATCAAAGGCCTTCCAAAGGTAAAGAAGTAGAGAATTCTTGGGAATTAGCAGGGATAAAGCAGATACTGTTTCACCAAAAATCCACATTTTATTTTAAAACTCTGACTCTGTTGAAAGAGTTAGGCATAAAAATTCCAAAAGACATGGGGATCCCACCAATGAATGTGTATGTGTATGTCCACCCAAAATGAATATCCATTGCAGGAATAATCCCTCCTATCTCAATGAAAGAAGGCAACAGACTTTTCTTTCTGACAGCTTTCACCTTATTGCAATAGTAAGTCTGATCAGAGCAGACAAACACTTAGCTACAAAATTGGTAACAAATCCCATAATTACACTTCTGAGTCATAACATACAGGGAATGATAAATTTTAAAAATTGGGCAAAGTGACAAAGCAAAATTCAATTTCAATAAGACAGATTTACTGCAGAAAAGTTTTTTTAAATAAGAAAAGATGGGATTTCCCTGGCAGTCCAGTGATTAAGACTTGGCATTTCTACTGTAAGGAGAGTGCCAGTTTGATTTCTGCTCAGGAGAATAAGATGCCATGTGTCTCTTGGTGTTGCCAAAAAAGAAAGAAAAAAAGCTATTTATACACAGAAAGATTTATTTAAAAATTAGGTAAGATTGAAAGAAAAGTATAATCTCTTAATTAACGCATTCTGTTTCTTAAAACATAGAAATGGAAATAATTTTGAAAATAAACTAGCACATATTCTTAAAGTGATTTCAGTCACAGTGAAAGGGAACCAAAGAAAAAACAGACACCCTATGGGACTACTCCCTTATGTGCTAGAAATTACAGGTATTGTTTCAAACATTGTGCTGTTTAACTTTCACAATACTAATCAGGTAAATTTTGTATAATTTTCTTTTCTTACAAATGAGATCTTGAGTATCATAGAATCTAGTTTACTTGCTAAGAGCCAGTGTGTAGAAACACAAAAACCATAATAAAATTCTAACAATAATTATATACACACACACACACACACACACACACAGTTTTCTGTGACAGGGAGAGCTCGTTGGAGTAGTCTGGACAGAGGCACAAAGGTGTCTAGGATCTGGAAAAAGAGAGGTCAATAAAAAATAAAACAAAACATTATGCCCCTGAAAGCACAAACCTGTCTAATAAGACAGTGACAAAGGTTTTATTTTTTGTTAATTAATAGATCAAATATTTAAGCTGAGACCCTTAGATGCTTTACATTTAGTAACATTTATCTTCTCACAATGATCTCATATATGGTGCAATTTTTATATCAAGATTACTTTAAGAAAATAAGCACAGTGTTTAGGGATGTTATTCAAGATTATACTGCTAGTGTGTAGAGAGACAGGTCTTGAACTCAAATACTCTGGACACAAAACTTCCTTTCTTAGTACAAAACATTTATGATATTTTCTCCTTAATTCCTTGATGAATAAGGGACATCATGGATAAACAGAGACACTGCTCAGCACTCATTCTTTAGAGAATGACTCCTAAACTGTCTGACAGTATGCAAAAGTTGTTGAAAAGCTTTCCTTCTTCTTAGCAGTCAGTGGCAGAGGAAATGAGATTGTTAAAAATTTGGCAGAGACATCCCTTCAATACTGTTCTTTCTTTGTGAGGCATCAGTCATTTTTCCTTAGGATATAGGGAATGATGAATTAAAATTTTCTCCAAATGCAAAAATGATATTGGGAAAATATAACACAAACAAATCTTACACCCTATTGATGAAATGTTGTTATTTAGTCCCTAACTCATGTCTGACTCTTTGTGACGCCATGAACTCTAGCCCACCAGTCTCTGTCCATGGGATTTCCCAGACAAGAATACTGGAGTGGGTAGCCATTTCCTTCTTCAGAGGATCTTCTCCACCCAGGGACTGAACCCAACCCCATTGAATGTCTCCTGCATTGGTAGGCAGATTCTTTACCAATGAGTCACCAAGGAAGCCTTTGATGAATTAAGGACAGTTAAATTGAACAAGACGGAGGGGTGGGGCAATAGTAGATAAGCAAAGGTGTCTTAGATGGACATATATCAAGAGACACTACAAAGAAGTGAGTGTGAATCTAAGAAAGTTCAAGAGTTTGGCCATCACAGAGTTATGGGAGCATTACATTTCCCAGGATTGAAATATGAAAACATTTTCTGAGTAAAGGAACATGAAGAGAGTTTATAGATGAGAATTCCTTGGTCTGTGACATTGACAAATAAGACAAGATTAGTGTTATAGTCTAGTAAAACCCCAATACAATGGGGAGGAACACTCAGGGAGAGGGTTAAGATCAAGGGGCCTGAGGAAGAAGACTCATCAAAAGCATCATATTCAAACTGAACATATTTTTTAATCCTGTAATCCAGTAGCTATATTTAGGTTGATTTCTCCAGTAAACATATTGACAATTTCTGTTGTTTTCAAATAGAAACTTATATCCATGCCATTTTCCACCATATACTCCCAGGATCCAGGCAGGTTTTTCTGATACATCTTCTTCCCAGTGGTATTTCTGTGATGTGATAACCAGGGAGCCCAGGACACCATAATCTTCAAAATCATCATTCTTATATATATGGTTTGGTTCCAAATAACACACATATCTTAATTGCTTCTGGTTCTCAGAAATGACAAGGTCCTAATGAGAAGATTCAGGAACACATGAACTGTGGAAAAATTATGGAGTTGGATTAGGGCTATTATGTAGGCTTATTTGTGACACTGTAAAAGGGATCTTTAAAATAACTTGAATGTAAAGGTTGTGTGTGTGTGTGTGTGTGTGTGTGTATGTGTGTCTGTATGTGTGTTGGGAGTGGAAAAAAACATCTTAAAATATGATACCTAATAGAAAATGAAAAAGTCTAAAAGATGATGAAAATAGGATGGCTTGATAACATTGTGATATTTTCTTACCCCAGTAGCGTTGCACATCTGTCAGCCCTGAAATAATAATAATAGCACTATTATTATTGGTTAATTAACCAATATTGTTATTATGATTAATAAACCATAATGTTACATATAAGCCAGCGAGTCAGCTCCGAAATCTATTTTTTCCAGATTAGGGGAAGGGCTGTGGTAAGGTACTGAACTGATGAAAGAGAAGATGAACGAACACTTGGTCACTTCCCATAAATATGACCACATCGTCAGCACAAAGTATCTGGGTTTTGCTGTCTTTATCCACATCTAGAAATTGGAGCCTCCTCCCCATTTTCCCTCCATCACAAGAATTCCACAGACACCCACTTAGGTAGCATTCCTCACCATTATACACTCGCTGTATGTCTGTCAGATCAAGAGCTGAACACATTCTCCTTTGTCCCTTGGGGAGAGTTCTGAGCTTCTTCAGGGTTAAGGTTTCACTCCTAGGGAAGAAAAAGATTGACCCCCACATGACTGACTTCTTGTTCCTCTCAAACCACTGACTTTCACTCCACTGATGCACTTGAACTGTCTTGGGAAAGGAGAGAATGGATATCTGACTTTGGTGCCAGAAGGAATGTGCTAATGTCCACCTTCCTAGTTACCCTGTGTAACCTGGGACTGTATTGACCTGTCAGAAGGACAGTTTCTTCCTTCTTTAGTGAAATCATTAGCCTCTCCCTCTCTAGCTTCTAGAAAGCATATGAAATTATTTGAAATAATATTTTGGTACCACAAAATATTAATTTGTGGAAAAATCCCTGCATAGATACGTGTTCCAGGGAGGTGTCAGAAAGTTAGGTAGCAGGACCTGGCTCCCAGGCATTTGAGACATATCAGGTATGAGAACACTGTCTAGAGAGTCCCCAGATCTTCAAAGTCTGCTCCCCAGTACAGAAGCTCTCAGAATACCCTGAGATCTCAGGTTCTCTGGGAATAATGACAAGCCCTTGAAAAATAGGACATTAGGAATACTAAAGCAACAGTGGTTTAAATTTCATGTGTTTGTAAAAATCTTGATGCTACCATGTACACATGCAAATTTAAACACAAGGATGCTACCTTTCCATTCTGCCTTATAGAGTATATGAGCAAGATGGATCAATTGTTTGTAGCACAGCCATAATATTCTTTGATATTCAAGTCTGTTTTTGGAAATCTAATCAGAAGGATATAGAAGGGCCAAGTCTCTTCTATACCCAAGGCAAAATTCAAATATAAAGGAGTTGTCTCCAGTTTGGGTGCTTGGCAGATAAAGAAGACATGACTTTTCCAAGGTAATTCAAGCACCTACTAAATATGAAAGCTGACTTGCATAAGGATACCAAGTGTGAATTAAATATTTGAGGTCACAGGAGTCTGTTATTGCTACGTCTTATTCCTATTATGGCTACTAACTAAACTCTGTGACTTTCAATGACTTCATTATCTACCATAGAAGTTGGTCCATTCTTAATCATTAGGAAAAATTTAGCCTTGATTTGTGAACAGAAATTGAAGGCAAATCTATATACCATTTTTTCTGCCTTGACCATTATTTTCCTCTAATTGGCCACCAGATAAATCTAGTCAGTGATTTTAATTATTTTTATTCCATAAATGGACAATCTCTGGTCTCCCACACGTACCTTTTCATGATGTCATTCACATCCTAGTGAGGAAAAAAACATGAGTCAAGAAGTAATAGGTCCTCCCACTTAGAAATCTTCATTACATCCCCACCACCCCTAATTGTGTGAATAGGATGGTCTCAAAGTGAGAGCAAAAGCAAAGACAAGAGCAAGGCCAATCATTCTAGAAGACTCTTGTGACACTGTCACATTTTCAACAAAGGTAAAATAGCTTTGACACTTGTAAAAGCAGGAGGCTTTTAGTATGTGCTGATGAAAGAACATAAAAAACCAACATATTCACTTTCCTGCAAAAGCATAAAATGCCCCATGAGTCTATTTGAATATTTAATGGTTCTTTAATTTATTCAACAAAAGTATCAAGTATTCTACTATTATTTGCCAAGCTTTAAGTCAGGCTTTGAAGAATCAAAGATGAATACAAAATCCTAATATTCTTCAAGCTATTTACATGGCTTTTATGAGGCTGGAAGTAAACAAATGCATTAATGTATGTGTTTTTCATGTCTCTCTAGCCTCATTTTATACACTATCAGTGATCTCTTTCACTCCCTTAAGTTTAACATACACATGTGCAGTTGATTTTCAAATCTTTACTTTTACTCAATTTTGTCTCTTAAATGCTTATTAATCTATTCGGTAAAAAATAAGTCACAAGAATCAGTAATTTAGGATGTCTAATATGTAACTTACTATTCATCAACTAAACTGTCTCCTCTCTTGTATCCCATTTTCATAATGTTACCAATAAGCACTCAATCACTGTCCAAAAACTAGAGCATTTATCTGCACTTTAGTTTGTGCTGAGTCAATTTTGTTCAAATCCTTAACAGTTTGTAGCCATCTAATCTTCTTAATCATCAGAGATGTTTTTTTTTTTTTTTGAGCAGATATTTATCAGTATATTTGGTGTCTTTTATATTAGACTTATTTCCATGTTACCAAAAACTAGTACAACAGCTGGGTCCACACACAAAAAACAAAAAACCGTCTCTCAGCTCTTTTCTTGCATATGACAAAAATCAAATAAAACTGCATTAAGTAGAAAATTTTGTGAATACAATTACAACTTGAATCAATGCTTAATTTTGAAGCTCCAACCTTGTCATCAGAATCTGGTCTGTGTCTTTCTCCAATTCTATTTACTCCACCTATATTGACTTTTGGAGAAGGAAATGACAGCCTACTCCCGTATTCTTGCCTAGAGAATTCCATGGACAGAAAAGCCTAGTGGGTTATAGTCCATGGGGTTGCAAAAAGTCAGACACGACTGAGCAACTATCATTCATATTGACTTTATTCTCAGTTAATGAAGAAAACAAAAATCTCCTGATGTAAACTCCAGAAGAAAAGAGAATTTTTCTTCCCATTATTCTAAAAAGTTCAGATGCTTGCCTGTAGGATTGGGTGCAATATTAAAAGCATCAATGTGTTGTTGCTGGAAGGAAATGAAGCAGTGGTACAGGAAGTTTCTATTTTTACTGAAATGAAGTTGGTGTTAGTCAGGAGTAGATCACGATGGGATAGGAAACATTCTAATCATTAGAGCAGCTATTAGGAAAAAATGAAAAATATACATAGTTATAAAATAACAAAACAATATTTTATACCTGAGATATGTGTTTAACACAAAAGAACTTAGTTGAAGTGAAAGAATGAAAACTAGCCATATGGAATGCAAATAGAAAAATGATAAATTTAAATATAACCAGATCAATGATTGCATTATTAAATGTCATTGTATTAATACCCCATTAAGAGGAAGATTTTTTGACCTGATAAAAAGCCACTATTGCTATCTACAGGACATATATTTTACATTCAATGATATAAGAAGGGTGAAGTTAAAAACATAGAAAGCTATATATCATACGAACAGTAAAGCTCAAGTGTTCATATCACAGATACTGGGGTTTCTTGCCCAATGTTACCTGCAGCATCTCCGTTGTTGATCCTTTCAAACGACGGTCCACATCTGAGATGAGATTTCTCACCAACTGGCTCTGCTGGATCAGCACATGCTCAGAGTCTGCCAGGTTACGTAGACCAACTTCCTCCTTACTCTTCAGTTTTTGCATTTCCTTCACCTCCTCATATTTAAGGTTCTTTCTCAGTTTTTGAAACACTGCCTTGACATTTTGTCTCTCATGTTGTATTTGATCCTTCAGGAGTATGAGAAAGAGAGAGAGAAAGGAGGGAAGCAGTGATTAGGGAAGCTCACATGATATTTTTTTCTCTACATCACATTTCAAAATAATAGTCCCAAGTCTGCATTGTTGAAGACAACTCATAGTCAAATGGGACACCTAGCTGTGACTCAGTCTTCACACAGATGTCCAGGATGCTCATGCCTTCCTGTATTGTTCTTGACTCCCTCCCACCACCTCCTGCTAAGATTGAACACTGAGGACAGGTGTAAGTTGCTCAGTTATGTCTGACAAAACTATGAAAGTGAAAGTGAAAGTCATTCAGTTGTGTCCAACTCTTTGCGTCCCTATGGACTATACAGTCCATGGAATTCTCCAGGCCAGAATACTGAAGTGGGTAGCCTATCCCTTATCCAGGGGATCTTCCCAACCAAGGAGTCAAACCGTGGTCTCCTGCATTGAAGGCAGATTCTTTAACAGCTGAGCTACCAGGGAAGCCAGGACAGAGCCATGATCCATTGTCAAATGTCTCATTCAGAAGAGTCAAGGACAAAAAACATGACAGGAATGGAATATGAAATTCCCTTGTTATCCTCATGACAGATGTCCTCTCTATAAATACCTCCCTTCCAGTATCTATGTTCATTTGTGATATGTTCCCTTTTTAGCACCACCCCTATCAGGGATAGGATGAAGGAAAGGACTAATCAAATGACAACTGTCAGGGAACAAAGAGGAAGGCCGCTACTTGTGACCACCCAAGGTCCTGTCCAAGATATCTGTCTAACTCCCTCAGGAAGTGCCTTCTCCTACCTTCCAGGCAGCAATCTGTGCTCTGACTTTAACTTCCAACTCCTCAGCTTCCAGCTGCTTCTCCCTTAGCGTCTCTAGAGCTTCCCGGAGTTTCTTCTGTGAGAAAAGAACCACACCAAAGTCAAGCTATGGACTTTCAGCATCACTGTAGAGGGTAAATGAGAGAGAAATGAGGCTGATTTCCAAAGAGAATTCACTTTACAAAACTGTAGAGAACAGCTATTAGAATCTATGACCTGGGAGAAAATCTGACGTGGGGAATGTATTCTTAAGACTCAAGAGATAGGAGTCAGCATTCTCTCTCCAAAGAAGACTGGTTCTCTTTGTTCTAGAAGAAACCTGATCCTGCAGCAGGGAAACAACTTACACCTCAATCCACCCAGTGTCCTCGTTACCCTCCTGTTCAAAGTCATCATGAGAGCTTCTTTGGGCGTCAGATCTCCACCTACTTCTGACTAAAAGTCTGTGTGTAGGATCATTACTTTGTAATTGGGGGAATTCACAGAAACATCCCTCAGACATCAGAAGGTGGGCATAGGATGAAAAGAGATCACAAGCCTCAAGTCCATGGTGACCAGGTAAACAAAGTCCAATGCAAAGTGGAGATTTCCCCTCAAGTAACACTCTACCACCTGTCTTTCCTCCATTCTCTTCTCTTACCTGATAGTCCTGAGCAACCTCTTCCATGAGGAATGTGTGGTGACCATGGTGCTCCTGGGACCGCTCACAAAGCCAGCAAATGACTTCCCTGTCCTCCTCGCAGAAGAGCATGAGTTTCTCTCCATGGCGCAGACAGAAATTTTTCTCTTGCTCCACCTCTGGGCTCAACTTGACCTCTCTGAGCCTCTGTACTATGTTGGCTACATGCCTATTAGGCCGCAGGTTCCCAGGCTCATAACTAATTCTGCACACAGGGCACCTTCTCTCCTCGTTTTGGCCACTCATGGGCACCATGTTGTTTGCAGTAATGCAGGCTTGGCAGAAGCTGTGGCCACAGTCAAGGCTCAGGGGTTCTGTCAGAAGCTCCAGGCAAATGGGGCAGGTCACCTCCTCCTGTAGGTTCATCACGATTCCTGAAGCCATGAGAGTTGCTCAGCTGCTCCGACTTGTTCTGACTTCTGAGGGTGCTCTTTCTCAGAGATCCCTGTGTGTTGGAAGGTTTAAAAGGGGGCAGAGTTAGAAAGATAGAAATGCAAGATACTAGTTGTGAATAAATTAAGTACAGTCCAATACCAGATTATTGATGGACAAAAATGAAACATGAAGATACAAAATAAGGAGCTTGGTGACCTGGCAAAAAGGATATTTCTTAATACTTTAAAATTTTTTATTTATTTTTTTAATTGAATGGGAATTTGCTCTATGACTCAGGGAACTCAAACCAGGACTATATACCAACCTAGAGCTGTGGGATGGGGAAGGAGGTAGGAGGGAGTTTCAAGAGGGAGGGGACATATATATATCTATAGCTTATTTATGTTGATATTTGGCAGAAACCAATACAATTCTGTAAAGACATTTCATAATAATTTTAAATACTTTACTCTTGATTCATGTCACATGACAAATTGCATCCTTATCTGTGGAATTATTTTTATTATTTAATTTTACTAAACAAAAGGATGACCTGACACCTTTTCCACTAAGATCCCTATGTGACCCACCATCTTTCCATGCCCCAAATATCCTCAGTATCAAAATATCAGTATGACTGTCTCTTGTACTTCAGTAAATTCTCCTTAAGTGTTCTCCTATCACATAGACCTGCTCTGAAGACTTATCACAGTGTAATCACTGTCATCATTTGTTAGACTTTTACAATGATTTCCCTTATTGTCATGACATAATTTTAATAAAAACGACAAGGATTCCCAGGTGTCTTAGTGGTAAAGAATCTGCCTGCCAATACAGGAGATTCAGGTGACTCAGTTTCAATCCCTGGGTCAGGAAGATCCTCTGGAGGAGGAAATGGCATCCCACTCCAGTAATCTTGCTGGGAAAATCCCATGGACAGAGGAGTCTGGCGGGCTTCAGTCCATGAGGTCGCAAAGAGTTGATCACAACTGAGCACACACATATAATATTTGACTATGTGTGTCTGTACATGGTAAGAGCAAACCCATTATCAGATATGTAAAGAGAGATGGTGACTTACAAAGATCATGTATCTTCAATACACAGAGTGGAACTAAACCTAATTTATTAGGGGTCCTCTTCAGGGGCCTGTCTCCTACCCACTGAGCTAGTCAAAGACAAACAAAGGCAAATTCATGGACTCAGTTATTACCCAATGCAGTAGGGGTGGGGAAGTGAAGAAGTGAAGAGATACAGATCACTTGGGAGGCACTGGGAAGTCTTAGTGGGTAAATAGTGATTTCACCTTGGCCTGGAAATAGGTCAAGGATATTGATAGGAGCCCAAAGATGTGTGTGTATAAGAGGATTATAGGGAGGGATGTAGTATCAATATATTCAACTGATCACACAAGTCAGGTATCTGAAAACACATAAACAGTTTAAATAAATGTCCGTCTTGAAAAATAAACTCAATATATTGGGCAAGATCATTCAACTAATAATCACTAATAAGTAACATATGCTCGTAACTAGACATAGCCATAAAAAGAAATATGAGTCTAAACAGAAGGTTTAAACCACTATTAACTTGATATTCATCTGGAAAGTAATAGTAAATAAAAATTCAGCCTTAGATGCATATATATATATACTTGTATACACACAAAAGAACAAATGTGGAAAACTTTACCAAAAGATGCAGATGTTGTTTAGAAATCAAATAGTTGGAGAAAATAAGGGTTATCCAAGAATTTCAGCTTGAAAACACAACAGTGAAAGTGCAAACTGAAGAAAATAAAGGAAACAGGGAATGAGAAGGAAGAAAAAACCTACCAGGTAGAGGAAATGAGCTGTGTGTGGAAGACATATTATCTTGTATGAGTTTGAAAAGGCCAGTGTGGCTGTTGTACAGAAGATTGCTAGGCTTTCTGCATCACAAGAGGCTGCAGTGACATTAAACATGACACTTCCCAAATTATGTAACATTCAGGGACCCATCTCCAAGAATCAGGAAAAGTTATGTTTTCCCACCAGAGAGGAGTAGGGGCATGACCAGCTGTGCCTTTGGGCTGTGAGATGTTGGATGGACCCAGGGTGGAATTGGGAAGATCAGGTAGGATGCAGGCACAGCTGCTCAGTGGAGAGATGATGATAGCTTGAGGGACAGGGTGATGAAGGAAATGCTGGGCAGCAGGTGAGAGTGAGAGATAAGAAGAGGTAAAAGAACAAGATTGGGAGTTGGACTAGATATGTGGGAACAGGGGTAGCATCCGTCCTGGAATCTTTCTTCCTGGAAAGGTAATACTGGCTTACTCTTCTAAGTTTTGTTATTGTCGTTGTTGTTTGTTCTGTGTTATGTGTGTATGTGTGTGTGTTTTGTTTTTCTGGGAAGCCTACTGTGTTACAATAAAGTGATAAGTCAGCGACTTTTGAGAGGGTAACAGGCAGGAAGGCCAGGGGTCTCCAAACGGAGGAAATAGGCTGCAAGTGTCAGACATTCTTCATGTCTCCCTTAAGCAGCAGGAGGAAACAAACTATAAGTGTCAGAATTTTTCCTTCTCTATAATAAATTAAAACAAGGTTTCTCTTAAAATTCTGTGTTGCCATGATGACACCTTGTTCCACCTGAATTTGACTTTCTCAATCCTTGAGTTAACCAATGTGTTTTTCTTATGGAAATATGTTCCTTAAGCTATGTTAATGAAACTATGTATCTGCTTTGGAATTTGCCTTTCTTCAAAGTCGTTCCACCTAAGACTAACTTTTTTTCCTCTCTCAAATCTTGGACAGATAATAGCTCAATAAACCAGTATTCATATCAATTGTTTTACAGCTGGGGGATAACACACCTTGTGCCATTCTATCTCAAAAATGCATTTTGTGGGAGAGGGGCCGGTGAACCTCCCTCAGCCTTGAGACATCTCTCTTATCTAATTAATAGCTGTCTAAAAGACATAAAACAGCTTGCTATAACTAGCAAGGGGGGCACTACTTCTGCCCCCTTCTGATGTCTATGTCAGAAGCTTTGTCGATCTCTTTTATACTTCAATAAAAATTTGTTAAACAGAAGCTTTGAGCGATCAAGCCTCGTCACTGGCCCTGGATTGAATTCCTGTCCTCTGGAGGCCAAGAATACTGGTGTCTTTCATGGTTCAGCAGCAACGTTTCACTTTAAGGCCACATTTTTGACAGTAAAACTAGTCTGGATGTATTAAGTGCATTTTGGTAGGTGCACAAGATGACACGTTAATGAATATCAAGGTCAGGGGTAGACATTATATCATTTTATGGCTAAAGCTTTGCTTAAAATATGGTGAGAGAAAAAAAATATATGGTGAGGGGCCTCCAATTATTTCTCATCCTATTCAAGAACCAGCTACTGCTGAGATGCATCAAGAGCCTTAAAGAAGGGAGGCCCAAAGCATGCATTCAGACATGAAATGGCAAAATTTATTTTCTTTGCAGTGTTCCAAGGATCTAATATCAAAGCAGCTAGATTCACAAGAGACATGAAGGAACTAGTCCTCATACCTGAAGGATGACACTCCATCACTCGCTAAGCAGTGAAACAAGCTTCCCTCGGCAACAGGAAGATAGATGTGGGAGCATGAGAGGCATCTGCCTGATGAAACTTCAAGTCCCATTTGACTCCCATGATGTCAGAAGCTTGATCCTTACCTTTGATCTTTTAACTTGGAGCTCATGAAAACACAAACTTAAAACACCTCAGATATAACAGTCAAAGATAAGCATAAAGGACATAAAAAGACAGTATTTATATAAAAGGGAAAATAGTAAGATCATAGAGATGACTTTCTTCTTTTGTGACTACAGTTAAACTGTTTCTCTAAACATAATATAGCCACAAGTTGTGAATGTTATATGAGAAAACTTCACTTTTCCCAAATAGAATTGGAATGTGAAATTGGGTTTTGTAATATTTCCCAGGAAGTCATCTACTATTATTTTATATAAATACCTTACAATACTAGCAAAGTAAAACTGAAAAACTAAAGTAACAAAACAATTCTAAAGACTTGTAGCAACTGGCCTGACAGAGGTGAACTGTATGAATTCAGAAGACAAGGGTCTAACACTGAGTATGCCTGAGAAGGTGACAAGAATAGGTAGCAGAGGTGACTATCTCCAAAGTCAACCTTGACGAAATAAGACTTGGTCAGAAGAAGGGAAATTGGAGTGAGGAAAAAGATTTGACTTGTGTCATCCATATGCCTGAGAAAGGTGGGTGCAGATGAAACTTCTATAGGAAGGAGGAAAGGGGGGGAAATGCAGAGACTCCTCTAAATTACTTTCCATGTGGGTCTCACAATGTTGTTATGATAATACTTCTCTGACATCCTTTTATATCATTAATACCAATCAAGTAAGATTTTAAAAATAAAAGTTAGATATCACTGTTATTAGAAGTTAAATGCTTCCAGATGCCACTTCTAGAAATTCTTCCCATGTGCTCCCCTTGCCTCTGATCGCTCAGCTGAGCTGGTTCTAGCTGGCCTATCCGGCTCAAGGAGAAGGATGAATAGGTTAGGGATGTAAGGAAGTGCAGCAGTTCCCTGAGTCTGGACAAGAGAATTCATGAGAGGCTGCAGAGCCTGCCAGATGTCATAGCATCCAACACCTGAGCCCAGACAAGCCTAGGGAATGAGGATTTACCTACACAGTCATGCAGAGAAATGTCCGCAGCAAGGTGCAATTCAAACTCACAGAATGGGAAGGAGCTGTGGGTAGATTCAGCTTCGAAAAATAAACATCCCTTCCAAGGAAGAAACAATAAAGTCATTTGCTTTATTCCAGCCCCGCTTCTTGTAATAGTTCCCCTCCCCAGACGTATCTTCAGTCAGCACTCTCAGAAGGAAGTCTGCAAGTTGGGCTTTTTCCCCCTTTAGAACAGCTTTCACACAACAAATAAAACTCACCCAAGAAGATTTAATTTTTTCTAGTGTGTCTCTCAAACTCTGCCCACTACAAAATACTCAGTTATCTTCAGACACCAGTGGAGAAGTTGTGATTCCTTGGAAAAGAGTGAAGGCAGGATCTGGGCAGATGTGTTCAGGATTCACTCACCTCACCAGCAGCCTGACCTCCACTATGATGATCTGAAGGAGAAGATGAGAGGAAATGGAAGTTAAATTCAAGGGTGTGGAGTAAGGGCAGGAAAGGACAAGATAAACTGCAGACCAATAGAAGCTCTCCGTATAGGTTCTATGGGCAATGACAAGGCCTTTGTGCCTGAGCCTGGTGGGTCAGTGATAGTTTCTTTCTATCTCAGCTCTCCTCCTGGAAACTGTTCTCCTGTCTCTTCAAAGTATTCTATCCTTTGGAAAACTGAACTTATTGAGCAAGTTAATTTCACAGACACCCAACTTGTCTTGTTTCTTTACTGATA